GGCATGTGTTATTTGGCTATTCATGCCTAACAATGGCATTTTTGGTTGAGGGTCAAAAAAGTGTCCAAAGACAGGATTGACACTTGTCCCAATCCTGATACATTTTGAAGCATAGGTATAATTGCCTCTTCATGCATATATATATATTAAACTGTTTCCATGTTATGAATCTGGGACAAAGTTCCTTGGGCAGTTGTGCAGGGGGGATGCATCTTCCATATACACAACATCACGCCCGGGCCCCCTTGCCCTAGGATAATGCAGACCAAGTTTAGATTCTAAAAATACTGGCAGGTGATCTAAAACAATAACACAAAACAAATCAACCATATAATTTTGACAGTACTGGAATTCCATAAACTATAGATTTTCAGTTCCCATTACGATGTTAAACACCTAGGAAGCTTAATATGTTGAGTACAGAGATACCTTGGTATCTTTACCTGGGTGAAGTGGCCGGGATGGTAACTAGGCTAACACGGGTCTATTAATGTCAAAGTTTATTACTATGTCTCCAATATCAAATCATTCAGGTTTGTTTGTATGACGAGATAGAGAGCTATGTGGAATGTCTTTGCGATGAATTGATGAGAGGTAAGAGGCTGCTTTATCAAAAACATGTTTTTATAAATGTTTATAAAATGTATCAACCAGATAATTAGTCTTCGTATTGTAAAAAAAATCTACAGTAAACGATTTGAGAACTTGTAACAAAGTCATCATTCTGTTCGCCTGGAAGGTACCATGTAATTTCGAAAATCAAATTCTATGATATAGGTTATCTTTAGTGAATTTAATTAACACTGAACTCAATCCTTCCTATTATAGTGTGAAACTCAATTATGTTATTCTCACTTTTGAAATCCACAGATTCCATGACATCTTGCTCTTTTCCCATACATTCATTGCATGAAACAGCATGCAATGCAGTCATTTTTACCCCATGAACTATTCAATTATAAATAGAACTCTCACTTTTCATAGAACTCTCACTTTTTATTTGATAACCAGTTTATTTAAGTTTAGTTTATTAATCTTTTGATCAGGACCTGGTTCACTTGTAGTAACAATACCTATACAAAGCCTAGGTATTTTGGGGAACTAATATACAGTTAACATTGACACATGATGCAGGTATCCTGACTAACAAGGTTTCAGCTCTTCCATTTGTACAATTTAGAAGTCAAACCACCTGAAAATGGCAAAAATATCCATCTGATACTTGTTTCAAAAGAGAAGTTGCTTTTAGCAATATGGCAAAATTACTTCCTTTCTGGTATATTACCCCACTGCTCACCAGGGGACCAGCAACATTCCACAAATAAATACCAGACCAAATTTGATTAAATTCAACATTTGGTATTCTTGGTATACCAGAAAATGTTAATTTAACATCTAGTGTTCTTGGTGTGCTAGAATACTGTTAAATTCATGCCTTCCTTTTTCATTACTTTTGTGAGAACCCTGTAAATTATGCAGAAGGCTATTTCCATATGACATGTACACACACACACACACCTTCCATAGCACCTGTACATAACGAATAAACTCTGTAAATTGATTTTTAATTGTATGTTACCTATTTCCTAAAATCATTTGTATTAGGAAATTGATGTTTGGGGTGACATAATGGGCTTACTAATAATTTTTTGGATATTTCTTAATGCTGATTACAGATAATAGCTATGATGTTGACATCAGGAATTAACATAAAGCACAGATATTATATTACTTTTAATGCTGTATTTATCCTGAAATAAGCCCATGGGTAAACACATATGTATTCTCTGACCAAAAGTAGGGGGTTGGCTAAATATAGCAATATAACAAAGGAGTCATTCAGGCTAGAGGAGAGTCAAGACTTGTTACTAATGCTGGACAGACACAGCTATATCCACACATATAGTTACTGATGCTGGACAGACACAGCTATATCCACACATATAGTTACAGATACTGGACAGACACAGCTATATCCACACATATAGTTACAGATACTGGACAGACACAGCTATATCCACACATATAGTTACAGATACTGGACAGACACAGCTATATCCACACATATAGTTACAGATACTGGACAGACACAGCTATATCCACACATATAGTTACAGATACTGGACAGACACAGCTATATCCACACATATAGTTACAGATACTGGACAGACACAGCTATATCCACACATATAGTTACAGATACTGGACAGACACAGCTATATCCACACATATAGTTACAGATACTGGACAGACACAGCTATATCCACACATATAGTTACAGATACTGGACAGACACAGTCATAACCACAAATATAGTTATATATGCAGGACAGACACAGGGCTCTATAACCACAAATATAGTTACAGATACTGGACAGACAGAGCTATAACCACAAATATAGTTATATATGCGGGACAGACACAGATCTCTATAACCATAAATCTAGTTACAGATACAAGACAGACACAGCTATAACCACAAACATAGTTACAGATACTTGACAGACAGAGCTCTAAAACCACAAATATAGTTATATATGCAGGACAGACACAGAGCTCTATAACCACAAATATAGCTACAGATACTGGACAGACACAGTTATATAACCACAAATATAGTTATATATGCAGGACAGACACAGAGCTCTATAACCATAAATCTAGTTACAGATACAAGACAGACAGAGCTATAACCACAAATATAGTTATATATGCGGGACAGACACAGATCTCTATAACCATAAATCTAGTTACAGATACAAGACAGACACAGCTATAACCACAAACATAGTTACAGATACTTGACAGACAGAGCTCTAAAACCACAAATATAGTTATATATGCAGGACAGACACAGAGCTCTATAACCACAAATATAGCTACAGATACTGGACAGACACAGTTATATAACCACAAATATAGTTATATATGCAGGACAGACACAGAGCTCTATAACCATAAATCTAGTTACAGATACAAGACAGACACAGCTATAACCACAAACATAGTTACAGATACTGGACAGACAGAGCTCTAAAACCACAAATATAGTTATATATGCAGGACAGACACAGAGCTCTATAACCACAAATATAGCTACAGATACTGGACAGACACAGTTATATAACCACAAATATAGTTATATATGCAGGACAGACACAGTTATATAACCACAAATATAGTTACATATGCAGGACAGACACAGAGCTCTATAACCACAAATATAGTTATATATGCAGGACAGACACAAAGCTGTATAACCACAAATATAGCTACAGATACTGGACAGACACAGTTATATAACCACAAATAGTTACATATGCAGGACAGACACAGAGCTCTATCACCACAAATATAGCTACAGATACTGGACAGACACAGCTATAACCACACATATAGTTATATATGCAGGACAGACACAGCTATAACCACAAATATAGTTACATATGCAGGACAGACACAGTTATATAACCACAAATATAGTTACATATGCAGAACAGACACAGCTATATAACCACAAATATAGTTACATATGCAGGACAGACACAGTTATATAACCACAAATATAGTTACATATGCAGGACAGACACAGAGCTGTATAACCACAAATATAGTTACAGATACAAGACAGACACAGCTATAACCACACATATAGTTATATATGAGGGAAAGACACATAGCTCTATAACCATAAATCTAGTTATATATGCGGGACAGACAGAGTTATATAACCACAAATATAGTTACATATGCAGGACAGACACAGAGCTCTATATATAACCACATTAAAGTTGTAGATGCTGGACAGACACAGCTATAACAACAAATATAGTTACAGATACTGGACAGACAGAGCTCTATAACTACAAATATAGTTACAGATACTGGACAGACACAGTTATATAACCACAAATATAGTTACATATGCAGGACAGACACAGAGCTGTATAACCACAAATATAGTTACAGATACAAGACAGACACAGCTATAACCACACATATAGTTATATATGCAGGACAGACACAGCTATAACCACAAATATAGTTACATATGCAGGACAGACACAGAGCTGTATAACCACAAATATAGTTACAGATACAAGACAGACACAGCTATAACCACACATATAGTTATATATGCAGGACAGACACAGCTATAACCACACATATAGTTATATATGAGGGAAAGACACATAGCTCTATAACCATAAATCTAGTTATATATGCGGGACAGACAGAGATATATAACCACAAATATAGTTACATATGCAGGACAGACACAGAGCTCTATATATAACCACAGTAAAGTTGTAGATGCTGGACAGACACAGCTATAATAACAAATATAGTTACAGATACTGGACAGACAAGAGCTCTATAACTACAAATATAGTTACGGATACTGGACAGACACAGTTATATAACCACAAATATAGTTATATATGAAGGACAGACACAGAGCTCTATAACCACATTAAAGTTGTAGATGCTGGACAGTCACACATCTATTACCACAAGTATAGTTACAGATGCTGGACAGACACAACTACTCGGGAATTACCACATCATAGTTGCAGATGCTGGACATATACATTTTGACATACTGAGAAACAGCTTTAACCATAAACATAGATACTGGACAGTTAATGAGTTATAACCAAAGTTGGTTACAGATGCTAGACAGACATACAGACATTAACACAATTAGATGCTGGACAGAAAGACAGACAGACATACAGGTATATCACAAATATAGTTACAGATCCTGGACAGACAGACAGGTATAACCACAATAAAGTTACACATGCTGGACAGACAGGCAGCTTTAACCACAAATATAGTTACAGATACAGGACAGACAGATGTTTAAGTTTACACATGTACACTACAATGTCCTTGAGTTCTGGTGTCCAGGCATAATGACACCCCTCACTGACACTGTAAGGGAACAGTGTATGGTGCAATATACAAACATACAGAGCAAAAACTGTAATTTCTACCTGTAGTGCTCCGTCCTGCCTCATGCCTTCCAACAAAGATACAGGTAATTAATGCTATGTTCAGTGTCCCTTTCACTTCCGAACTCTGCAGCTCAACAACCTCGTGTGGGAATGTAAACAAGCATATATCAATCGGCTGGTTCAGACTTCAGCCAATATTCAATAATATTCTCCAATAAGTTTGATGACAACTAGAGCTGGATAGTTGTGTCCACCAGTAGATTGGAAAGTGTGCCGGGTATACAGGTGTATGTCGATGTATTTACCTGTCACAGAGAGGCTTGTTATGGTAGAATACCACTGTCACACTCCAGTAATAGACACTAACACAGCATCATGGCACACCACACCCACACACAACCTCCAGTCAATGGACTATCAATAATTACGTTTGTGTTGAACAAACAGCCAGGCAACGTGATAATGAGACCAGCATCTGCAGCAGAGAACAGATACTACAGGCAATGCCTTGTTAGTGCTCCCACTGTCAGCCAGGCATGCCCACACATGTAGCACTGACTGGTCAGCAAGTGACAGTTTCTGTGCTACTGTGACAAATAAGTGATTCCCTAACATGTTCTCCAAGCCTTTAATGAAAGACATTCATTTTCAGACAATATTACAACTTTTGGACACCCAATAATTATAACAAAATCTGCATAATTTAATAAAACTGGCATGCTTTATTGCTTTTAACAGATTCCATATAAACTACAGACAAAATCCAACCCTTTCGAGATGCAAGTTTCTAGAAAATCAATATTCCATGAACAGAAGGTCTCCAATACTGCATGTATGTACTGCAAGCCTGATGTTTTTCGTTTGACTGCTACATAACAATAATTAAATACCATACATCCACATGAAAACCCAAAAGAACAAAGAGTGCACACAACAAATGTAATACCAACTATACCAGATAGTAAATGTCATGGGTTTACATGCTTTATAGATCTATGGTTGATGATCATTATCAAGAATTTTGAATATGAGTCACAACTTTTTTACACATACATATGTACATTTATCATATGTTTACTTATAATAAAAACCTTTTTGTATGTTTAATAAGTCTAAAATTTCTACAAGTTGATATCAGCCCGGGTGATATCACACCCCCTTGGAGTGATATCGCGCCCCCTTGAAAGTGATATCACACCCCTAGAAAAGTGATATCACAACCCCTCCCAAATTTCTGGATTTTGCCGCTTCCGCTTATTGCTGTCTGCTTTTAATGTAAACAAACGAATTGTTGACATGGAATAACTGCGGTTTCATGGAAAATAATTTAAAGATTGATTTACAAAGCCCTACCCAATATTCCGACGGTGCCGCTTCCGGATTTGGTTTTGCTTATTAGTGTTACACCTTTTGTCTACATAAACAATTATGACAACTGGCGAGGAGATTTTGGAGGAATTGGCAGCAAGGATTCTTGAATTACCGACGAATTAATCGACAACAAACAAATGGAAAAGGAGATGATCAATTCAGACAGTGATTAAATTGAATTCCAACCAGATCCATTGTGTTATATTGCTAAAAATATAAATAACCATATTGTTTTGTAGGAATTTGGGAATTTCTAAATGTTGACTTTTTAAGTATAATTGGTATTGTTTTGTTTATTTACATCATTGTTTTTGTTACCATTTTTATGAATATTAGTAAATAAAATATAGATTTTTTTTGTGTACGTTTTGTTTATTGTATAAAGGGAAAAAAACATGTGATAAAAAGTTTATGATATATGACCATTTTAATATCACATCCCCAATCAGCCCTCTGGCCTTCGGCCTTCGTGATATCAAAATGGTCATAAAATAATCTCTAAATATATAGCTATTATGGTTCATAATATATTGTTAATTCATACAAAATAATAAAGAAAACATTCCTTTTTTTCCTTTTTATATTCCTAAAAGAAATCACACAGTCAAAGCTCAATTAAAATTAATATTGCAATTAAGTTCTCTTGGATGGGACTGGACCCATGAGACAATCCCTGTAGTATAGTTATGTGTATGCTTTGCAATTACCTATATGTATTGTCACAGGGTGGGGGTGGGGAGGATCTCCAATATTTACAGGTTATGACCCACAAACTATAAGTTCTTAAGGGCAGGGGTAGACCCCTAGGCTAATCTTGATAGCAACTCTATATTTGTGATTGCAAGTCCAGCAAATGTATACATAGTTTAAAGGCTGGGATTCTCAGAAATTTCCCAAAAAATGATGCAGGTGACTTAAAGTCTTCAGGTCAGGGCTGGCAACCCTTGTAGCATGGACACATGTATGTATTTGTCTCTATGCCTATTATGTGTGTATGTCAGGTAAGTAGAGTTATATGGTCTGTTTTTTAAGTAGAATAGGAGTACAAGCAAAATTTCTTCATAAGAGTATTACAGCCTCAGGAATCACATCATCTTTATTAATTACACCTAACTGCCGAGGGCACTGGAGGATTGGCAGCATGAATGGGTTTTTTCCTCTTTTTTTTATGCTATAAATTTTATCCTGAATGGGTAGGTATCCCAAAGTTGTGCATACATTTTGTATGTACAGGTATATCATAGTACATAAACTATTAAATCATGCCAGGGACAGCATTTCAGAAATAATTCATGCAGTCATTCTGTCTAATGTGTGAAGGCCGTAAAACTATGATTGTGCCATACTGACAAATGTAAAGATCCTGGTCTATCAGTGTTACTTTTTGTTATGCCTAAGACACAAAATTAAAGAGGCTGCTTTCAGGAGGATTACATGTCAGAATGTCAGTGAGGAACAAAGTTGTTGTCAAATCCTTGTACCTTCCTATATCAATTGCTCTGGAAAGTTTCAAAAAACATCCAAGTTTATGTAATGTACATAGATTGCAATAAGAACAAGAGGCCCATGGGCCTTAACGGTCACCTGATATATTTATACAGAGAGTTGATTTTGTTTTTAACATGTACAGAACTAGCTATTATTCAAAGTGACAAAAAACAATAAAACCACCTTATTCAATAATTAGCATACAGATTTAAGACTAAAAAGTATTTGAAACTATAGCACCTCTGATTCTAAACAAGGAAAATGAAGAAATTTTAGCACACTGAATCCTTTGGGCCCCACCCTACAGCCCTTGGGGGTAGGGCTGGCTCAAAATTTTCAAAGTATCAAACTGTCAACTCAAGGTTATAATTCCAATCAAGTTATTAACATGTAATATTCAAAGCATCATTTATAATAATAATAATAATAATAGACTTGATTTAAATTCGATAACACATTGAGTCAATGACTCGTCTCACATGTGGTCGACAAAATTGCCATTATAAACCATAATAAATTTTGGTTATCATGTTTACCCATGGGGGGTCAGTCAGGGCTGATATGTGCATACTATCAAACTGCTACCTAATACTGATAATGCTAACCTAAATTGAATTACTTCCAATGGAAATTAAATGTTGGTCCAAAATGTGATTTCCCTATATAAACTATAGTAAAGTTTACCCCCTCCCCAGGGGGAAACGTGATACCCCAGGGTCATGAAATTCACAATTTTAGTAAAGCACCTTAAGACCCTTCCATCTATGAAGAGTATTTGATTCTACCATATCTGGGTCTTGAGAAGAAGATTTTTGAAATTTTAGTCAATTTGGCCCCGCCCCTAAGGCCCCTGGGGGCTTGGGACTAAACCGGCAACCATTTTGTTGACCTTTGTCCATGGAAGGTTCCTGCAAAATTTCATTGAAATTGGTTCAGTGGTTTTGGAGAAGAAGTCGAAAATGTAAATTGTTTACGGATGCACGACGGACGACGATGGACAAAAGGCGATCGCAATAGGTCACTTGAGACTTTGTCTCAGGTGACCTAAAAATTGATTAATATGTATACTCCTTTATACAACCCAGGTACTTCGTTAATTTTTAGTATATCTTCTTCTTCTTAGCTGTACAAGGGCTCCACCAATGCTAATGTTTATGCCCTTGGGACCCTGTGCAGAGTCGTGAAAAACGGGGATTATTTACAGTGATTAGTTTGTTTAGGGGTTTTTTTGTGCAGGGTATAAGAGAAAAAGTTAAAAGCTGACGTATGTACTAGTGTGTGATGATGGCTTCTAGGGCTGCATAGGGTATGTTTTTGCCTTGAAGTCCTCAAATGTTGTGGATTGTACTGCTGCTATAGGAAACAGATTTTATTGTGTTATTGTGTGTGGGATGAATGAATGTGTAGGTGTCCTTTGTAGGAGATGTGTTTGTATGTATAAGGGTGTGCATGTCTGGTTCGAGTGTCTTAAAGTGTGAGTATATATATATATATATATCCGCCTGAAGAAGCCCTAGAAGGCAGAAAGGCCTAGCGGACGAGCTGAAAAATTTGTTTTTATTCTATATATATATATATATATATATATGGGGGGTTTATTGCTACCAGTTGGTGAACTTTTTTTTATAAAAAAGAATTATTCTTGTGTGAAGGCGTCGTATTTGTAGTGTTGGACGTTGTAGTTTGTGGACCATGTCTGTTACTGAGCTGGTGTTGTGATATTTGTAGTGTTGGCCATTGTGAATCATGTCTGTTACTGAGCTGGTGTTGTGGTATTTGCAGTGTTGGCCATTGTAGTTTGTGGATCATGTCTGTTCCTGAGCTGGTGGTGTGGTATTTGTAGTGTTGGCCATTGTGGATCATGTCCGCTACTGAGCTGGTGTTGTGGTATTTGTAGTGTTGGTCATTGTTGATCATGTCTGTTACTGAGCTGGTGTTGTGGTATTTGCAGTGTTGGCCATTGTAGTTTGTGGATCATGTCTGTTACTGAGCTGGTGGTGTGTTATTTGTAGTGTTGGCCATTGTGGATCATGTCTGTTCCTGAGCTGGTGTTTTGATATTTGTAGTGTTGGCCATTGTGGATCATGTTTGTTACTGAGCCGGTGTTGTGGTATTTGTAGTGTTGGCCATTGTGGGTCATGTCTGTTACTGATCTGGTGTTGTGATATTTGTAGTGTTGGCCATTGTAGTTTGTGGATCATGTCTGTTACTGAGCTGGTGTTGAGGTATTCGAGTGTTGGTCATTGTGGATCATGTCTGTTACTGAGCTGGTATTGTGATATTTGTAGTGTTGACCATTGTGGATCATGTCTCTTACTGAGCTGGTGTTGTGATATTTGTAGTGTTGGCCTTTGTGGATCATGTCTGTTACTGAGCTGGTGTTGTGGCATTTGTAGTGTTGGCCATTATGGATCATGTCTGTTACTGAGCTGGTGTTGT